TACAGTACCTGAAGGTATGTTAGCTCTCCACTAGTGCCCTTTATTATTTATATTGCGCCATCAGATTCCGTAGCGCTGTACAATGGGAATTTATCCCTCTTGAGCATTAGTGGTCACGTTTCCATGGAATTTATCGGTAAAATGACTGCTTGGTCATCAACCAATACTTTTTTCAGACAATCATTTGGTACATTTTAATTGGTCAATTTGATAATGTTTCAATAGTGGCCAATCAGTTTTTCATTTCCAATGTCCTTATGAGGTGTGTGTTGTCACTTTCCATTCATAATTTAGAAGTCTTGTGTATTTCTTTTTTATCTTCCTTGGTTATTGCTTGGGTCTTACCCATAGTTGTGCTGCCATGGAAATGGCCAGGAAAAAGGAAACTGTATTCCTCCTTACGGTAATTTTCTGTTTCTGGTCATGGCAGCACAAAGATCCTGCCCTGTGATATTGCTGGATGCTAAGGGTGGGATGGGTAGGAGAGGTTACTTATGCCTTTTGTTTTAATAAGGGGCCTGTCTAATTAGGGATAGGGAGGAGCTAGCAATTGTTGTGCTGCCACCGCCTATGAACTGGAAAAGAAAAGTACGTTAAGTAGGAATACATTTTATATATATATATATATATATATATATATATATATATATATATACACATACACACACACACATACACACACACAGTGTCAGAACTGTGCAAGGCAGAATATAAATACAGTGAATAAAAAATTGGCTTCACTGGGGGGAGACAAGTAACAAGAGTTTTTGTATTTTTTTTTCTGCGATGGCACTAATCTGTTTTGAGGTTTACATCAATGCTATGAATGGTTTAGTTTTTTACAATATATGTTTATGCATCAAAACAGAGTCATTGTAACACACATATTAACTGTAGATTTAATTATTTTGCCTACATTTGACTGATTGTGGTACCACCAGGCAAACATTAACTACACCTAGGCTGATGTTGCATTTTAAAAGGACTATAGGTAAAGATCTTAATGTTTATGCTCTTGCCCTCTTGTAGATCTTTCTGATGAATTAGAATAAACTTTAACTGTAACCACTGGGAATAAAGTTAATTTCCTGGCCATATCCATGGCAGCACAACAATGGGTAGCTCCTACCCTATCCCTAGTTAGACAGGAACTAATTAAAATAAGGGTACAAATACCCCCCTCCTACCTCCTCCTCCCTCAGTCTTTTTGTTCCTGTCCTATCCCTATAGGACCAAATTAGTCTATTTTCAGGACTATAATCACTTTTTCTTTTATGGCTTACCTGAGGGTTTTTACCTTCTGCCCCCAAGGAAGTTCAGCCTCTCTTCCTTGGGAAGCTTCAGTATCCGGCCCTGTGCAAAGGTGTCCCCCTGAAGATACCCCCTTAGTGACCGGGGGTTCTACTTGCAGTGACCCTAGGGGTAGCAAGAGAAAAAAATGCCAAACAATTCTGATTCCCTGCAGTGACCAAGAGGTAGCAGGAAGTGGCGAGAAGACCTTATTCTGGAGGGATTTTTACATATTGAAGTACACCCCACATGTATGTATGTACAAATACTTTTTGCATATATTCTGTATTTGTTAAAAAACATATGTGTGGGTTTTTCCCCCCCCACCTATGATTTCTTTGTACCTTGCTTCTATCTTTACACATGCCTTCTCTTTGCGTCCTGTTCCTCCTGGGCCGCATGTGCGCCGTTTTCGCGCGTGCTCGCTTGTTCACGGGCACTCTAGCTTCGTGTGCACGCTAGTTCCGCGTGCACGCTATGTCCACGCGCACGCCAAAGTCGGCGCCTGGGTTCCGGCTGCCGTGAGGGTGCCTCCTACTCGGAGGTTGCTTCCGGGTTTGTGCCGCGCATGCGCAGTTAGCGAGCGGTGAATTAGCTCGTTCTGCGCATGCGCGGATAGGCGGTGACGTCAGATATGACGTCACACGCCTATTTAAGCGCCAAAAGTGTATAAATAGTTTACCTGAGGTTCTCATTAGGTCTTTAGAGGACCTGTTTCATACAATTTTCTACTTTGAATAGCATTTTTTATTGCAAGAAATATTTAAAGGTAAGTTTTACTTCTTAAAGGTGTATACAAATTTTTTCATTTTTTTCATTTCTTCTTCTTCCTTTCTTTCTATACTAATAAAATTACTTTTCTAGACTGTTCGTAATCATCTCCACAATGGAGAAAGACAAAAGGAGATCGATTTCTTCTGATTCGGACTCTTCTGGATATAAAAATAGGTCACACTCTAGGAGTTATAGGTAAGCCATATCATATCATTATTTTCTCTTCTGGTATAGGATAAATAAAGTAAAAGAGTGCTAATATGAGATATTTCCCTATCATCATAGTTCTACGGGAAAGAAAACAGTGAGATCATCCAAAGGAAAATCTCCAAAGAAAAATCAATGCGAAGCCTGTAATAATAAACCGCTGGAGGGCAAACGGTTATGTACAGAGTGTTTATCTGAAGCGGCTGGAACATCTAATCCTTCAATGGAATTTGTACAGTTCATAAAACAAGCGGTGGCTCAAGGTATCAAAGAAGCAGGGGCAAGTCACAAAAGACCCCGGTTACATGAACCTTCGGATTACCAACATAATGATTCGTCAGATGAATCCATGGATATGGAATCATACCAGGGGAATTTCTTATCTTCAGACGAAGAAGAAACTCAGGCCCCTGCAGATTTTCTAGAACCTGCTCAGATAGACCACCTCATTTACAAAGTCCGTAAATCTTTGAGCTTGAAGGAGGCAGTTGCAGAACAGTCAACCTCTTATCGTTATTTCTCAGACTTGAGAAAGAAAAGAGCAACCTTTCCAGTGCATGATACTATTAAGGAATTAATTAAAGACGAGTGGTCTAATACAGATAAGAAGCTTTCAGCACAAGGCAGAATATCTCGCCTCTATCCTTTTGACAAGTCTGATTCATACCATTGGGATAATGCCCCTAAGGTGGATGCGGCAGTAGTTCGACTCGCAAAACATACCACATTACCAGTAGATGATGCAGGCTCATTTAGACACCCAATGGACAAAAAGATGGATCTGCATCTCTCAAAGGCTTATGTAGCAGCAGGGACTGGTTTTCACCCTGCAATAGCCCTTACTTCAGTGTCCAGGGCCTTAAAAATCTGGATCGAAAACTTGGAAGAAGATATCAGAGATGGGAGAAACAGATCTTCTCTTCTGGAAAGATTAAATGATATTAAACTGGCCGTTGACTTTACCTCAGAATCCTCAGTGGACATGGTGAAAGCTTTAGCAAGAAACATGGCTCTTTCAATTTCAGCTAGAAGAGCTTTATGGCTGAGATCCTGGTCCGCAGATTCATCATCAAAGTCTAGTCTATGCGCCCTTCCTTTTCATGGTGAGATGTTGTTTGGCAAAAATCTAGACGAGTGCATCAAAAGAGCTGCAGAAGGTAAAAAAGCCTTTCTCCCACAAGACCGGAAAACCCGTGGATCCTTTCGAGCCAGAAGATACTCTGAATACCCCTCTTTTTGCGATACCAGATCTTATAAACCAGGAAGAGAATATGGAAGATCTATTCCATGGAGAGGAGGACATTCATCCAACAGAGGAGGAAAGTCTAGAGGTTCCTCATTTCACAAGAAGCCTTTATGACAAACCCACCTCCCATTCTGGAGGAGTAGGTGCCCGTCTACTACTATTCCAGAATATGTGGAAACATTCAACTCAAGACAGATGGGTGCTGGATATCATACAAAGAGGTTATCTTATAGAATTCTCCACAAGGCCGCCACCTCGCTCCTTCCAGAAGACAATCTGGCCAAGAGATGTAGAAAAAAGAGATTCCCTAAAAAAAAAATTATCTCATCCCTTCAAGAAGATGGAGTTATCGTTCAAGTTCCAAGAGCTCAACGAACACATGGGTTTTACTCCCATATCTTTCTCACCAGAAAATCCACAGGGGGATGGAGACCAATATTAGACCTAAGCAGACTAAACAAGTTCCTAAACATAAGGAAATTCAAGATGGAGTCTCTTCAATCCATTATAAAAGCAGTTTTTCCAGATCAATGGCTCATGTCAATAGACCTGGCAGATGCGTATTTCCATATTCCCATAGCACCCCAGCATCAAAAATTCCTCAGATTCGCTGTGGAAGAGGGTCATTTTCAGTTCCGTGCTCTCCCTTTTGGGCTAAGCACTGCTCCGCGTACTTTCTCAAAAGTTCTGGTTGTTCTAATCGCAGAACTCAGGAAGAAAGGCATTGCAGTATATCATTACCTCGACGGCATCTTGATTCTGGCAGAAAACAGAGATATATTAGAAGATCACGGCCTGATATGTATACAGTATCTTCAACAACACGGATGGAAGATCAATTTCGCCAAAAGCAACCTAAAGCCATCCCAGAGCATGATATATCTAGGAGCAGCATTCAACACTGCAGAAGGTTCCGTCCAACTATCCCCAGAAAGGGGTATGAAAATTCGGAAAAAGGTCAAAGACATGTTAGCATCCAGTGTTTCCTCAGCGGAGACGACTATGAGCCTCCTGAGATCAATGTCCTCCACCATAGGACTTACAAGATGGGCCCAATGGAGAATGAGGCCTTTCCAAAGGAATTTCCTTTCTCAATTCAAGGGCAATCTGTCTCAACCTATAATGATCCCTCCTCACGTACAAAAATCCCTGAAGTGGTGGACCCAGAAAGAGTCTCTCTTCAGAGGTTATCCCTTAGGAAATATTCCATGGATCATCATCACCACAGATGCCAGTCAATGGGGCTGGGGAGCCCACCTTCAAGACAACTATGTTCATGGGAAATGGGCATTTTCAACCTCCAACACCCCTTCGAATCTTCTAGAACTTCTGGCAGTTTTCAAGGCTCTAATGCACTTCCAGCAACTTTTACTCCACAAATGGGTCAAGATCAGGACAGACAATGCCACGGTTGTGGCATATATAAATCACCAAGGAGGGACGAGAAGTTGCAGAATGATGAAAATTATGAAACCTTTGATGTCCTGGGCCCAATTTAATTTGGAGAATATCTCTGCAATACATCTCCCAGGAACTCAGAACTCTGTGGCAGACTTTCTCAGAAGGGTGAGATTAGACCCGGGAGAATGGAGTCTATCAGACATAATATTTCTACAGATCGTAGAAAAATGGGGCCTTCCCCAGATAGATCTAATGGCTACAAGCAACAACAGAAAAGTCAAGAACTTCTTTTCGAGAATTCCAGATCCCCAAGCCGTAGGAATGGACGCATTGACATGCAGTTGGAACTTCGACCTGGCTTATGACTTTCCTCCGAAACCCCTCATCTTCCCTCTGCTAAGGAGACTACGACAAGAGAAGGCATCACTGATTCTAATAGCCCCTTTTTGGCCTCGCAGACCTTGGTTCCCGCTCCTACTAAGTCTGTGCAAGAAGGATCCATGGCATCTTCCAGTTGTCCCATTCCTGCAACATCAGGGTCCAATTCATCATCCAAACCCAGCATCCCTTCGTCTGATGGCATGGTACTTGAAAGGGAAGGGTTAAAGAACAAGGGGTTTTCGAGATCAGTAATCGAGACACTTCTTCAAGCAAGGAAGAAGTCCACTTCATCCACTTACTACAGAATATGGGATGTATTTTCTTCATGGGCCAGTTCAAGACCCTTTGCTATTTTGAACCCTTCAACTACTGATATTCTTGATTTTTTACAATCAGGTCTAGAGAAGGGATTGAATTATAACACTTTGAAAGTACATATTTCAGCCCTCTCTGCTTTAACTAATCATAAATGGGCACTGGATCTGGACATAGCTAGATTTCTGACTGCAGTCCTCAAGATCAAGCCACCCATTAAGTCTATTACTCCGCCATGGGATCTCCCTCTGGTCCTGAAGGCTCTTAAAGCAGATCCTTTTGAACCTATGGCATCAATTTCCTGTCATCTTCTCACAATCAAGACAGTTCTACTAGTAGCCCTAGCCTCTGGTAGAAGGGTTTCTGATCTTCAGGCTCTTTCGGCTCGAGAACCTTTTACGATATTTCATAAGGACAGAGTCATCTTGAGAACGGTTCCAGAATTCCGCCCTAAGGTAACTTCAGAGTTCCATATGAATGAAGAAATAATCCTTCCAGCATTAAGTACAGAAGAATCTAATAACGGGGAAAACGCTGATGATGATGCTATCGACCTAGTAAGATGTCTTAAGATATATATACAAAGATCCTCAGAATGGCGTATTTCGGAAAGGCTTTTTGTTATTCCTAATGGCCCTAGGAAGGGTCTGCAAGCTTCGAAAGCCACTATCAGCAGATGGATAGTTTCGGCCATTATCCAATCTTATAGATCATCTAATACAAGTGTTCCTGAAGGTTTGAAAGCTCATTCTACACGTTCCCTTTCTTCATCCTGGGCAGCTGCAGCAAAGGTTTCTACAGAACTGATTTGCAAAGCAGCCACTTGGTCATCTTCTAATACATTTATTAGACATTATCGTTTAGATGTAAGAGCTGGCCAATACGATGGATTTGGCAGATCAGTTCTTTCTGCCTCAAAGGATTAACTACTATTCTTTTTGTTCATCACATTGAGTTGTTTGTGATAATACACTTGCATTATATAATGATGTGTCTGAGTTTTTCTTTCCCTCCCTTGGTTTTAGCTTGGGTATTACCCATTGTTGTGCTGCCATGGATATGACCAGGTGGGTGCCCATACCAGTAAAGTTTTTAGTAAGCCAGAGGAGCATCAGTATGAGGAGATGCTTGTGTAAGATGCATGGTTGATGGGTACACAGACCAAGGATTAGAAGGCTGGGTGGGATAGGCTGGGGATAATAATAGGGCCAGGGAATAATGAAAGTATTTAGAAATTTGGGCAGACTAGATGGGCCGAATGGTTCTTATCTGCCGTCACATTCTATGTTTCTATGTTGGGTATTGTTCATTATTATTGATTGCAATAGGTCCCGCTTATGTTGCAGTGTCTGTATACTGTCAGTGTTGTTGTATGTAGAGATTTTAGATTCCGTGTTTGTGTTTCAGTCTAAGCTGTTGGTTAAAGAGTTACTTTCACAAATTAAAGACAAATATCAGTTAAGTATATATTTATTTTAATAACCTTATTTTGTTATGACAATAATGGCAATTCAGTGGAATTTCCCTGTTTCAACCAGTATTCAGCTAGATCTACAGTAAGACCCAGACTTGTTACTAGGTTCTAGAAACAATCAGGTCTTCAATCTACAGTAAAACATGATGACCCCTACACTAACGGAATGGTGGGGATATGCCATGACGTATCGATTCCTCTCTAGCAACGAACAGAGTGCAGCTGAGTGCTGTATCTCAATGAAAGTATAGCCGCAAACCAGCACATGCTGCACATCCAGGCAATCAATGCGATCCTGCTATGCTACCTAACTGTGTACAGCAAAGTTCTGTTCTCCAGCACCACTCCTGACCTTAAGTACTCTGGAAAGGAACTTTACTACTGAGGTTTATTTTTAAAAATATGTGGCTGCTATAAAAAAAAAAAATGTTTGATTTAAAAAAAGAACAAAAAAAACAACAACAACAAAAACACACCACCACACTTATCCCCCTGCCCTCTCCACCAACTGAGATCCAGGGCTAAACAGCCCCCTAAACTTCCCCTCAGCAACATATACGAGAAGACATAATGAGATTGCATCCAATAACACATGTACCGTTGGTTCTTACATATTATAAATACATACATATCTAGCAGCTTATTTATTTAGTTACACAAGGTCTACCATATGTGATAGATAATATGCCAAAATATTCAAAGATTAAATTTACACAGTATGCACATTTCTAAAAATATTGCATATTTAATACAATATGCATGTGGATATAAATAGCTATATGAAGAATTAAAATAACTGTGCAGTTTAATGATCTCAAGATAAATAATAAAGCTATTATTGAGATTTTTCATCCAAAAGAATACATCTACAAGAATTAAGTTTTCATAGTAGTGTGATTAGTTAGAATTTACAACACATTCTCTACCGATTTCTAGGTAACAATATAAACAAATTATTACATACATTTTATATAGGTAATAATAGCTTAGTTACTATCTATCTGTGTGTGCTGCAAATGTTAAGCATTTGTACTTACCTTTTAAGACATGCCAATTTTTACATTATATTGACGAACAGTCTTTGGCAATCTATGCCAAGATCATGTATAGCCTTTGGATAGCACGTCCGCAACCAAAAATGTACTATATTAGCATAATATGTTTTCATAAAACAAGAGTACAAATAAAAAAATATATTTATATCTTTATACATAATGTAATTGTAAAAATAATCTGAGTTTTTTTTTGTTTATTTGTTATATTCTATAAAACTGGCAAGTTGCTGTGATTCAGTGGTCAGAATCATCTCTCTAGTTTTATATGGTGCCCGTAGTCCTTAGGGAATTTGAGTTATTCTGTTAGATGTGAGAAGCAGTCAAAATACTGAATAGCCTGTCTGGTGATCAGTTTAGCACAATGCACAAAAACTCACACAATATGAATTGTCATAGTGTTGTTGTGCACAGTCCCAGCCGACATGAGCTTCCGCATAATCATTTAGCCTGCTCTAAAAATCTTCAACACAAATTACAAAAATTAGAACTTCTTTTGTAAGTGTAAACATAGAACTCTGTAAACAAGGGTGCAAATAGCTCACTTGTTGCTTAAATATGTAAAGAAAGTGTGAGGCTTGAGAATCTTAGCTCCAGGAGTCTTTTTGGTCAAATGTTATTCTGTTTGCCAGGAAAATGGCAAAAATACCAAAAATAACAGATGATGCTATATACACTGTAACGCTTTCCATTAACTGTACAGTCATACCCATGAATAGAGAAGGAATTACTTGTGAGAGAAGTAAGGTGCTGTCTAAGATTGCAAAGTCTAGTCCAATGCCACGTTTGGTATAATGATCTTTGCAAGTCTCATTCTTTTCATTCTCGGGACTAAAGATATTTTTGGAGTAGTATTGGTGATCAGGAGGAATTTCGCTGTACACAACACTTTCCTTGCTCGGAATCCCTCTGCTTTGCTTCACAGTACCATCTTTGTGGCCATTTGGTATATCAGGTGCAAAATATACTGCTTCTTTGGTGAGAGTATTTCCATTTGGAGACTTAAATTCCACTGGTCTTGGTATAAACATCTAGTGAAAAAAGACAACAACATTTATTGTAAAGATTTAAATATATCTTAAAGTATATCGTTGTACACCCCACAACAAAAATATAGAAATAAACAGGAGACACATGAAAAGGCTGCATTTTCACATTATTTACCAAGAGAAAGGGTTACATGGCTATAGAGATACATGTTTGTGTAGTTAGTAAAACAGGATTTAGGGACATAATAAACATGGATCAAGTGGAAATGGACACGTCACAATATATTGCTTATTTTTAGGAAAAAAGGTTACTGAGGAATTTACTGATGTGTCTTATTTCATGAATATAACACTTACAGGGTTATTTACTAAAGTGTGAAATGCCAGGAATTCAAAGTGCATTTCAATATTTATTTCTAAATAAGAAAACATTTCTAAGTCAATTATTTTTTCAGTTTGCCTGTTTTGTCCTTAAATTTGATATTCACTTGGAATTCAAAGCAATTCTCACTTTGGTGGGAAAGTGTATAGCAATGATTTAGCTGACTCCAAATTAGACCAACCCCTTTGAAATTACACTCCTCTTAGTCTAGCGGAATAGAGAAGATCTGTGCCCTGTGGAGCAATAGTAGAGACAGAGGGTGTATGAGCATTATCTCACATGCAGGAGCAGCCAAGTAGTCTCTCAATCCCACCCATTGCACAAAGAGCAGGGGAATTAAAGATTAATTAAGCAGGCCTAGTGAATGCTCCCTTTTCCTCCAAACCATGTAACTTGTAGTGGAGGGAATGAAAAACTGGGTAAATGACCCTACCCCTTCCACAACCAATATGATTTTGGTGGAAGGTGATAATATTACTGAGTCCATAAGCCCCTTATCCCAGTGATAACTGGACCAGACAAGGTGCTCAATCCACATGGCCCAACTAATTAAAAGTACCCTCTGATAGAGTACCAATGATTTCTCTCTGCTTGTCCTAAAAGTTAACACCAGGTGTTTTGTGGTCTTCAAGACCCTAGCCAGCAACCAACCCAAACAATATGCACCCATCCGTAAAAAATAAATAAATCCCTACCTACTTAATGAGGTGATCAAATGAAACCTGAAAATTTGGAAACCCCCCATAAATGTATCTATCAATGTCAACCATAATAAATTAGTCATAAAAATATTATTATCTGATTCATCTAAATAGATAGAAACTAAAAGTAAAAATGATTCACTCCCTTTGTCACAGTGCAGTGAAGGTTCTCCATGATAACAGATGTATAGAAATGCTCAGGCTGACAGAAGAGCCCTTAATTGATAAGCCACCATTTAATTATTTATTTTTGCCAGCGAGCTATAAGTTGGTTAGAACTGATCAATATTTTTAAAACAAAATATACTTCACAAAAACAAGAACCAAAAACATTAAAATTACAATACGTACATCTTTTTCTTTGTGGTATAAGCAGATGAAGGTGTATGGAAGAGTCTGTAGTGTAGCATACGCAAACCCAGTCAAGGATGACATGAAAGTAACTACTGCAATATTCTGCGAAAAACAGATGACCAGGGCAGAAAATGTAAAAGTGACCATGCTGGCAAGATAGATTTTTCTTGATCCAAAATACTTGCAAAGCTTGTTCATAATCACGGAAAAAAAGGTTGAAGTGGCGCATTGAAGAAATAGTCCCAGACTCCCCATCCGGATTCCTGTGGGAAGATGGACAGCAGATTTTAGGTTTAGGAGTATAAATATTGTCATACTGAAAACTGGGTGGGTAGAAAAGTACTAGTTATAATTTATATAAAGTGATAGTGTCTCAATTTGGCTGTGCAGTTGTCTGTCTCACATGCAAGTAGTCCCAGACAGCAAAAAAATAAAATAAATAAAAAATAAATAAAAATCACATTTTATATACAAAACTATAACTGAACTTCCACAAAGCCCACCAAATATAAGGTTTGGAGGGCTCTGTGAATTCTATATTCACAAGTTTTATCCTACTTTGATGTCTTCTTTTCTAGAAACTCGAATAGAATTATCGACTAGAAACATAGAAACATAGAATGTGACGGCAGATAAGAACCATTCGGCCCATCTAGTCTGCTCACTAAAGTGAGAATTCAAAATGAATTTAAAGGGACACTTCCGACATCTAAAGCACTTTAGGCTGCTGAAATGCTTTATGTGTCTATAGTGTGTCCTAATATGTGTCAGTGAAGCTAAACTCAAGTGGCAGCAATTGTTCAGTGCATCTCCCTTGCAAAGATGTCTCATTGAGCAGCATTGGGAAATCTGTGATTGGACAGCCACAGAAGTCTGGGCTGGGTTAGAAGGGGAGATATGCAAAAACAGCGGAACTGCAGGTTTTGCAAGCTGTTTTTAGATATATCCCCAATGAAAAAAAAATGTATAATTAAATGCATGCATGTGTGCATTTGAGGTATATCTACTAAACAATTATTTTTATTTATTTTGTATTTGGGCAGTGGAGTGTCCATTTAAGGTCAAAAAAGCCAAACCAGAAATCTCTCTAAGTCAGCTACGTTTTCAGTTCAGCTACTCTGGCTTAAATTTGACACTCACTTTGAATTCTCACTTTAGTAAATAAGTCTGTAAATTACTGGTTTGTATAGTTCTATAGTGAGTTCTATATGGTAAGGTATTCTACTTCCATCCTAATATGAAGTAAATGTGTTTATAAATTAGTATGTATAATTAAGTATGGTGTTCTTGTTCTAAGTGGTTTATGCACTACATGGTGAGTTATAAAAGCTCATTATGTTGTCTAACAGTCTTGTTTGTTTGCTGCCCTGTTACCGCACCATGAATAATTACTACAAAAAGTGTCCATCTTTGGCTATTTGAAATGCTGGGTAGCATGAAACTCCTTCATAAGAGAAGCTATACAGCTTTATTGCCGGGACATAATTGAAGATTATTCTAGCTTTAGTGTAGACATAAAAACAACTGAAACAATCAAAAAAAGTATGTATATAGGAGAAGTGGACTTTCTTAATGCAAAAAAACATAGGGAGAACCAATCAGCTGAATGAACTGCCATCTTAACCATCTGGCAAGATAAGTAATTGCGTGCATATGTAGGAGACAACAGTTGGATCGAAGGAGAAGATTGCAAGAGTGTTGTAACCTTGATATAAGGGACCAAGGCTGAAACCAAGCAGTACTGCGGATCTGAACTAAAAAAACATGTAAAAAAAACAAAACAAAAAAAACCGCAGCGGAATCAAACTTTATGCACCATGAAATACAATAGGTTCAAAAGAAAACATATCTACATCGAAGGCGCAAACATCTGACGGAATTACACTAGACATTCCTGGCATAAAGAAAGATTCTCATTACCCGGCCAATCATGAAAAAAAACACAAAATAATAGAAACATCCCATCAGTGAATTTACCTGGCACCCATGGGACGTATGCTCCACATCAAAAGGCAGATGAAAGGATCCTTGCATACAAGGATACCTAAAATTGGGACCTGAACACCCTAGATGCAGATCACATTACATTGAAGGAGTGGTAAGAATATCCAGAATATCCAGAGGAAAAGAGTGTTGACAAAAGATTTAGAACGGTAGAGACAGAGGCTGTTATCTATACCTTCCCACACACCAACCAAACTAGGAACCCCAGGAGGACAAGTAACAGAAGGAAGTATGGGTTCCAGGCGACCATGAGTCCCATAAGAGGTCCTTAGCCACCTGTGATAGCTCATCAACATGAAAGAGTCCAAGCCACCAAACTGAAGAAGACTCTTCAAGAAGCATAAGGTAAGGGATATCTCACAGATCCATGAGAAGCATTGGGTAATGTGGCAGAAGGAGTAGGTGCTCGCATGACAATTCAAGGGCATCCGGGAATAGTGGCTGGTAACTTGCTGTCTGGGAATATGGTGAATGACCCTTGCAACCACTGTGAAGGGCAGAAATGCATATGCCCTTTGAGTTGTCCAAGTCTGGAGGAAAGCATCCACTTCTCTGCATTTCGAGTTGGGCAGTCAACCAAAGAAGTCTGATGATTGCTCTGGGAAGCAAACAGATCCAACATGAAGGGTCTCTCATTGAGAATAGAAGTATCCAGAGTGGAGCAGTTCAGATTGAATCCAAGAGATTCGAGAAAATTCACAATAAAATGAGTCTGCCATTGTAGTCTTAATGCCTCAGAACAAAAGAGCAGAATGTCATCCAAGTAGATAATACAGCGAATCCCCTGTGCCTATAGATGCACGACCACTGGCTTCAGAAGTTGGGTAAAGCACCACAGAGACAAGCTGAGGCTGAAGGGAAGGCAGGTGAATTCCCCATCAGCAAAACTGCAGATAACATTGGTTGGCTGGATGGACATTGTTTGGCTGGTTGGACAGGAGCTGACATATACGCATAAACCAATCGCCTTCCAGGACGAGGTACCTCAAAAGATGTATACCCTTTATCTTGAAGTAGCAGTAAACCATGTTAGCATTGAGATCCCTCAGATTTATCACAGGTCCAAAGTCTATGTTTTTTTTCCTGACCAAGAAAATATTACTAAAGAAACTTCCACAATCTGTGACGGGCTGAATAGCTCTATTAGTTGCAACTCTCGGACCTCCATGTCTATGAGGTGGGCATTGCTCGCCGAGAATTGGATGGAGCGAGGTGGAAACCCTTGCAGAGGATCAGTAGTAAACTATATCATGGAGCCTTTGACGATCTGTAAATTCCAGACATCTGGATTGACGTGATATGACGCCATTCATACGCTGGTACACTTACTCGGAAAACAGGGTGTGGGTGTCATGGAGGAGGTTTGCAAGTAGGCAAAGAACAGAGGAGAAGCGTGGGTGTAGATGGGAGTTACAAAAGATTTAATGAGATAGCGGCAGGGGAGAGGAGGGCCAGGTAAACCATGACAGTTTCACTTTAACCAAGCAGCAATAGGCACAGCAACAACTGTATTAATGGCAATAATACTGTGTCTCACCAAGGGATGGGATACCACGATAACTTCGCAAAGCAATAAACACAGTCCCAGAGGGACCAACAATTTAACCCAAAAGTTCATAAAATTAAGGGAGATAGAGTGGCCACATTAGGAATAAAGATCACATACAGCAGTTAGCACAGAGTTGACAGGTGAGGGAAGGGATGTCATAACAACAATTCAGATAAACAATTCAAATAAAACACCACTATTTACACAATGTACAGAGAAGCAAAAACTCTGACCTGTCCTTTGGATTGAGCAACAATGAAAGAAGAGGTGATTAAGTCCAATTCACCTCATATACATACTGTCGGTTTTTAATTGGTCCTTTGGTTTCTTTATATGTTTTATTTTTTTGTGCTGCTAATTGCATTCAGTAAAGAATGTTATAAAAAATATGAAGCCTCTTGTCATGTGGTAAAATTAACCCAGAGGTGCAGTGCCTCTTCATACAGAGCATATAAGAAACTTTAAATGCACTTTTATTTTTGTTCATTAGTTCACAATATTCTCAAAGCATCGTGTGGCCTCTATTTCCTATCTGAAAAAACTAATTAATAATTTAAGATTATCCATTACAAAAATCACCTTTTAACATTAAATCCTGTTTTCCCTTTGAAATAGAATAAAATAAAAAGTCCACATCACAAACAACCCAAAGTACTAGTTTAAAAGGACACTATAGTCACTAGAACAATTACAGCATAATGTAGTTGTTCTGGTGAGTATAGCCAGCCCCTGCAGTAAACATTGTCTTTTCAGAGAAAAGGCAGTGCTTACATTACAGCCTAGGGACTCCTCCAGTGGCGACTCCTCATATGGCTACTGGAGGAGCTTCCTGTGGCAGTGCTCAACAGTGTGCAGCACTTACATTTAGTGTCTCCAACCTCTGCATGAAGACATTGAACTTTCCTCATTGAGATGAATTGATTCAATGCAGCTCTATGAGGAGATGCTAATTGGCCAGGGTGGCATTTGGCTCTGCCTCGACCGGCCTCTTTAGTTGAGATAATTAGAATTGATATTCTCAGTCAATCCATTGACTTTTGATGATGTCAGGAAAGGAGGCAGATCAGGGGCAAAGCCAGCACCAGCAGACTGGAAATAAAAGGTAAGATTTTACTGTATTTAGGAGCATAGGTGGCTAGATAGTGTTTTTAACACTATAGGGTCAGGAATACATGTTTGTGTTCCTGACCCTACAGTGTTCCTTTAAGGAAGCCACTACAAAACATGCAAAAACGATTAGATTCAGCATCCTTTTAACAAATTCACTAATTTCTGATAGCCTAAAGTATAATCTGTTAGTCTAATCTTCTTTCAGTGAATCTGAAATAAAAACTTTAACATAAAAAAACTGTCTAAAGCCAGAGTAAATTTAATCTATGGGTATTAGGAAAACTTCAGCAAAAAAGTTACATTTCAGTAGTAAATGGTATTACATTGGAACATAATAAATGTAAATAAATGGTTGAAAACTTTGTCTTAGAAAATGTTTAAGAGAAACTGCAAAATGCTGCATTTCATTTATGGTTTTCATGGTGATACTATGGGAATGCCATTCAGCAAGTTAGTGGGTGTACCGGCACAGCATACAAATTCATGTATATAAATTTTCTTTTCTGCAATATTTTGCAGAACCAAATAATTGTTACATTTTGTTAGCAGTATCATTCCCTAAGCAGTGAGCTGTGGTGAGTTTCAAAAATTAGGCCTAGATAGCAAGGCACATATTCTTCAACTCTGCCCGCTTTCCCATTGGTCTAGGTTACCCTAGATTTTGCAAACCCTGTTGTAATCTTACCACAAATAACTTTTTAGCAAATAAAATCCCTAAAATTGTAAAACATTTTTTAGAGCTTAAATTCCTGAAAATGTCTAATGCAGAAATTAATTGAGACCGAGAATAGGCACTAGTGTTCTATTTTTGATTGTGCCAGTTTAACTATGTGAAAAATGTATGATGAATCTAAAAGCTGATAGCAGCTAGTAAAATGTCTCTAACTGGAACATTTATAGAGAGACAGCCGTCTTTAATTTCCACTGCGGTTTCTGTAGATTAAAAGATATGCCAGAATATCTTTTAACATATGTAAGCTTTATCTAGGATTCCTTACAGCCCCCAGTAACCCCCAATCCTAGTGTTTACTTTAAATATAAAACTGAAATGTTCCAGAGCTATATTTTTATCAAATTATGTCATGATATACGTTTTAAACTATTGTGCAGCCTGTAGATTCATTTGTAGTTAACTCCTGAACTGCCATAAGAATATACACTGAAGTGATCGTGAATGTCCTAGGTCCCCCTTGCCCTCCCTTTCTTTTAAATAAAGGGTTACTTACCCGTAATTCAGTGGAGAGAAGGTCTCTTGCCACAGCTCTGTTTGTTTGCCAGGAGATTATCAGCATGAATAATCTCCTGGTCAATCCATGCTACTCATAAAGAAACACTGTAACACAGGGTGAATTCACAGAAATTGCCAAATTGCACCTGTAGTGCTTGCCAGAGTAAAGGATTGAATCCAACGCTTCTCTTTTAGAAGCATAGACTTCCGCTTTGTGACATGGGACACAAAGCAAAATAATACTGGATAACAAAGTCCCAAGGTAAGGCAATCAAAATAAAAAAAAAATGCATTAGGATAACAATTTAACTGTTCTTAAGAGGGCAGCTAAAAGTGTTGTTTACAATATATTGGGGGAGGCTGTTAATTACTCCCTTGTCCCAACCCTGAAAGGACCCGGAGATTTATAAGCAAACATCTGGAACTTCAGCATCTAAGGCCCACCCCTAGCAATAAATACAAGCATAATAGCATACACCTCACCATCTATTTCTTATACACTATATAGTTTCCATAAATGTGAATGCTTTATGCCTGGAGTTGTGGGAGGTGTTTTCTGGCCTTTATCATCCTACATCTTGGTGTTCGGTCAGGTTGGAGCCCCACGTATCACACCCTTCGTTATTCCTTCAATAGGTGTGCCCACGTTTAGTTAGGCCAACCCAATCGTCAGTTTTTGGCACATACATCAACTGACTTGCTTTTACTCATTTGGCCCTAACCTTACTAATTTTATACGGCTTTTGTCCCTAACCACAATGTTAAATATATGCATTTTCAGAGCTGCCATTTAACCAATAAAGAAATTAAGAAAAAAAAAGGACAAATAACTTTTTTCTTATACATATTTTCCAACAAAATGTTGATCTGCCACACAGTTGTAACCTTTTGATTAAAATAAAAAAAGTTTTGACAAACCCACGTGTCTATTTTGGCCTACAGGCAATTGAATCTTTCACAATGAAACAGCAGTATAAGTACACATTTACCCAGTAACATAATCTGAATTGCTATTAAGTGGATACAAAGTGCTGATACATATACTATATTTATCTTAAAATCAGATCACATTAAAATATTTGAAGTAACACTTTGTAGTACATAACTGCCATGTAACACATTCTTATTTGTACACGGATTCTAAATTTAAAACATGTAGGATACATTTTGTGGTTTAAAGAGATATGTCCCTTAAAGTACTTCAGCTTGCTGAAATGCTTTTTGTGTGAAGTGTGTCCTTTTCAAAAAAATTACAAAAAGTGCAGATTTCAATAGAAATTGAAATTGGCACTTTTAGAAATTAATCTTGTTACATCCCTAAGCTAGACAATTGTGAGTTTTGTGAATTACACTGAGTGTCTCACCCTCAGCACTCGCATAGTCTCTCCCTTTGTCATGGTGTGTCTAGTCCAGTGTGCATTGGCTGTGTGGTGTTTTGGCTGTGCTTATTGTGTGATGTGCTGGCTGTGTATGATGTGTGTGTCTCAATATATTCTGCATTCATGTGGCTTTTTATATATTTGGGGCACCTCAAAGTTTGCCTCAAACAGGCAGTTCTATTTTATCTCGATAGTGAATTTTACCATCCGTGCTAATCATAAGCTTAATCTTCTAACGTTTATTAATTTACATTTCATGCACACTCAGATTCAAAGAGTCGCACACTCAGATTTACACTCGCACACGGAAATTCACAAACTCACAGATGCAGACACACAGATTCACAAGCTGTATTTATTGAGATATTCTTCCACCTTGTTGCTTTATTTTTATCAGTCACCTATATCCCTTGAAGCGGCTGCACCATTTATTATTTTTCAGGTACCTATGATACACAATTTTCCAGTTTATGTGTTACTATTAAAGAAGCAGTACAAACCTGTTATATGCTTACAGTCTTTATGAGATAGACTGTGTTCTAGGTAACTCTACCCATCCCTCTCAAAGCTACTCTTACCATCCCCTGTTGCGGTGTGTATAGGTATCTACAGGATTCCCAGAGAACTGGCAGACTTAATTGGAGGCATTTTGTGCACCCTGCAAGACAGCAGAAGGGATGTCTGTGAATGTGCATCCATGTTTGGCATGTGTCCTAGGGTATCATCAGTGACATCACAAAATGTTTCAATTGGACATGTGTGACTAAGTCACACACATGCTATTCAACTTTTCACCATTCCCAAGGATAGGACTTTGATTGGTTAGATCACTGCCCACCCTGGGTGTGGGCGTGGAATATTCTGCCTACAGAATGAGACAACTTTCTCATTTAAAGTTAAATCTATTAATTAACACAGTTGTCTCAAAGTGATACATGTCCCGTTAAGCATGAAGTATCCACAATCTAAAATTTTGGTTATCCATATTTGGCTAAAAAAAACTAAATTAAAGTTTATTTTCCTCTTTTTATATTGTCACACATTTCTGCTGACAACTTCCATAACGACCTATTTTCATTTAAAGCATATGGTTTTCTCATGCTGTTATGTAAATATTTTGTGTTTTCTCTATGTAAATATTTAAATAATTTTTTTCTTTTCCTTTTACATTTTTTAATAAATGGAATGTATGTTAATTTATTTAGACTATTATGGTCTGATTAATGTACTTCTATATTCACAAACTGATGTTCAAATTTTAAAAAGTAAGGAGAGAGAAAAAAAAAAAAGCTTGAAATGTTGTATATAGTATTACCTTCATCATACCGAAGTCTTGACTCTGTTCCAGGCGCTGCACTTGGAATTCCTTTATACAATCCCTCACCAACAAAGTCTGTATAGAACAACATGAATGACATTACGGCCATCCAGCTACAAAGCTGTGCAGCACACAGCTGCTTCATGATCTTAGGAATTTGACAGTAGCTGTGATATATTTTAGGGGTAATTTTCCAACATAAGCTCAATAAGCAGAACAAAGGGTTGGATTTCAAGCCGCGGACCTTTAATTTTGGCACACAACAGCACCTTGAAAAGGATATTGATGTGAAAGAAGAATTGTCCAACCCTTGTGGTGTTCTACAGACTGACTCTTCGGAAGCTTTCATAGTGACAAGGACACTTACTATAAATATAAAAGTTAGCACTGAAAAAAGGCACTCGTATTGTCCACCCAGGTAAAGAGACATAAATGTGTAGTTCCAGTTGACAGAGGTAAGCAGATACCCTATGCATCCACCTATGCTGATCATGAAAGAGAAGGTGGCAAAGGCTTGACCACAGCCTTCGTCATCATCGTAAAGGTCAGACAGAAGGGCTTCAAGTGGGGTGAAACAAACTTGGGCGCAGCAGTCTAACAATCCCACCCCACAAATTAGGAAATAAATGTGGACAGTTTTCCCACCCCAACTGATGTAGGAGGCCAAAGTATCGGAGTATGGAATGATGAAAAGGGAGAGAAGGACCCCAAGAGAGAGAATCCAGATGAACGGACGTCTTCGACCATAGGTACTTTGGCAGTTGTCACTGGCATATCCAATTAATGGTACTAATATCAGTCCCAGTACTGGTCCTATGCCTGTGGAGAAAGTACAAAAATGATCCGTGAGATCACATATTTACAATATTATTAACATTGCTGTAATTTTTCATTTTCTTAAGTGTCAGAATAACAGCAGTAGATGGTCTCAAAATTAAAGAACAAAGATAATCCAGTAAAAAAAACAAAAAAACATTTATTAAAGATAATTTTACATTTTATTAACAATAGATTTCAACTCTATTTTTAAAATCATTACAATGACATAGTATGAATTGTGCTTAGATTGTTCACTTAAAGGACCACTATAGTGCCAGGAAAACACTCGTTTTCCTGGCACTATAGTGCCCTGAGGGTGCCCCCACCCTCAGGGACCCCCTCCCGTCGGGCTCTGGGGAGAGGAAGGGGTTAAATTTACCTCTTTCTCCAGTGCCAGGCGGGGAGCTCTCCTCCTCCTCTTCGGCTGAATGCGCTTGCGTGGCAGGAGCTGCACGCGCATTCAGCCAGTCTCATAGGAAAGCATTCATAATGCTTTCCTATGGACGCTGGCGTCTTCTCACTGTGATTTTCACAGTGAGAAGCACGCAAACGCCTCTAGCGGCTGTCAATGAGACAGCCACTAGAGGCTTTAGAGGCTGGATTAACCTATTTATAAACATAGCAGTTTCTCTGAAACATTTTCTCTGAAAAAAGCTGGACCAGGCACCCAGACCAGTTCATTAAGCTAAAGTGGTCTGGGTGCCTATAGTGGTCCTTTAATGCATATTTTTTGTATGAGAAAGCATCATATGCATTAAAAAGTAGTGGAAGCCATTCTATTGTTGTATTATTTTGTACTTCCACATGCTGCTAATGGGTGGGGGACACTAGGTCCCCCCTATTATATGATTTAGAGCCCACACCTGTCACTAATGATTGGGGACTATTGTGGGGATCACTATATACCAATGCTATAGATTCAATAGCCCCACCATGTGGTGGCTGGCTAACAAGTGCTCGGCAGCTGCACATAATTAATCCTTGAAGTCCTGAGGGTTATTAAACTATTTGCCCACTGGCTGCTAGTGCTGCCAGTGGAAAAATAAGATTAAAAAAAAAAAAAAAAAAAAATTAGGTCTCAGATATGAAGCATTCGGTTCTGGTGGCATTCGGTCTGGCTGCATTCTGAACCGAAATCTACATGAACTATGTCCACATTTTGAAGTCTGAATGGACTGTATGTCTTCAACATACCCTCTCAGTTCAACTTATCCGACCTTGTTACTCCTATATAATTATGAACTGTCAGTAGAACTTTACAATTCATCAGGTTTAGCTGTCTGACACATCTCAATGATTGCAAGTTGCTGTTCTGTAACTTTGAAGTTGCAAGATGCTGATAAAACGCAGACTTTACACATGCTTATAGTTTAACTCCAATGACATTTTCCCATAGTTTATAATATACCTACTCTGCATTTTGCTATAGAAGCAATATTATTCTTCAGATTATCTTTATTTTGAGTATGTATAAATAAGTTTCCAATAAGGCACATCTAAAAGGCTTTTGGTAGGTGTTTAAGCTTAATAATGTTGAAGATAATCATCTTTCTTTAAAGGGATAATAAAGAAATAAATATATATATATATATACACACACACACACACACAAATTATGTCTATCTCAGAAATTAATTTTTGTTAGAAATCTTCTGTGTCTGTTACATTCCCAAGATGATATAAACCATGTAAGGACCAAACTTCTGGAATAAAAGGGAATCATGACGTGTCACACATGTCATGTGTCCTTAAAGGGTTAAAGGAACATTCCAAGCACCATAACCACTACGGTTTGACAACTTACTTGTTATTCAATAGGTGGCCACTGATACCTCATCTTTAAATGGAAACTCCAACAAGCCCAGCATGCAGGGCCATGCTCACTGGCTGAAAGTGCTCAGCTTATGCTTTCATTGAAAGATCCAGACCCGTACAGCATGGCTTAACCCTGGGGAGCTAGTGGATGCTCATACGAGTTTATGTCTTACCCCAGATAGCTGTCAAACCATTCTTAAACAGTTTAACTACTTACACGGTAACTCCAGGCACCATGACCAGTACAGTGAGCTGTAGTGATTAAGGTGCTTGGAGTGTTCTTTTACATGTTTTGATAGGGATCCAAATTATATATATGTGTAAAACACCTTAATTAATCTCTCCATAGTTTCAGAGGAGTCTTCATTGTCCTGGCAAATGCAGGGCCGATAGAATAAACGGTTTATAGTGGTCAGTTATCTGGATCCCTATAAATGATATATGCCTTTTTTTAACCCGTACGGACATATTAAATTGCCATGGGGAACCAGTTTTGCGTTTGGATCAGTTAGTTAAAAAACTGCTGTTCTAGAACAGTGCTAGGAGCACAGGGAGAGAATCAAAACAAATTATTCCCATGCACTCTGAAGCAGAGAAAGGTGATTTAAGCTTCAGGAATTTTTCTGTTTGAGCTCAGAGGTAACTCGTTTACTGGAACCATTAATTAGATCAGCTATGTTCAAGCTTGAAAACGTGGTCTGTTAGTCATCTGTGCAAACTGAAGTAATAAAGAAAACACTACGGACTACAATTAAGAGATAAACACTTTATATTGCTTATAAACTTTATTATGTTCTGTTGGTGGAGCAAACAAACTAACAGGGCATGCGAGAATCCTGAGAACAGACAACAGCTTAAATCCCTTCATAGGTTCACGCTCAGTTCTCAAGCTGATTTTAGCTGATCTTGTGCTATTACACAGAGACCCTAAACCATTTGCACATCGGACTGAACCCAGATCTATCCTGAATACGTTTTCAAACACAGCTTAGTGTTCCAGACTTGCTGTAGCTTACCAAGCAATGTGAACAGAGTTGTCAATGTAGTAAAACAGGGCACAAGAAAATATTGACAACGGACAACAACTCAAGTTTGTCCTTCAGTGTGTTGATGATCAATTCTTTTAACTAATTGTTTGGCATTACAGAGAGAACCAAAACCATTTGCATATCAAACTGATTCTCAAAAAGTACTTACTCCTTCTGCATGAGAGATAACCTTTAATCTCAGGTAGAGAAAACAAACTTAAACAGGGCTTTGGTCTTAAACGGGTTAATAGAAGTTTAAATGAAATGTTTAAGAGCATCTCATGAAATGTTTAAAACGATTTAAAGGTGATTTTCAATATTTTATGCAAAGATGTAACTCCCATTAAAGCTCTAGTCTTTCTTTAAACCAGCAAGAGCATTCACTGCAGAAAAGGTAAAATGCTACTTGTCAAATACCTTACACAACGTGCAGCAGATATCATCCAAGGGGATGCAGCCCTCTGCTTAAATTAAACTGGTTCAAATCAACACAATGCACGGTCACCTGCCAGCTCTGGTAAAATATGATAAATTTACAAAAGAATGGCTTAAAACCAGGAATTAGAGGTCCATACAATTTGGACTGGCACATGGTGCCGTTGCTGCAGGTTCCTTACCTTACACAGAAAATGCTCTTAATTCAAATATTAGCAATTATAAATAGACATTTAATATCACTGAACCTCTTAAGCAAACGTACAGCATATACCTTTACATTAAAATAGCCATGGCATGTCATCTGAAAAAAAAGGGATTATTTTAAATAAATAATTCAAAAGGAAAATAAATCTTACCCAAAACCATAGTCATGTACTGCTCTTCCACCCCAGCTTCCAATAGTAGAGGGGGTACGTACGTTATCCCGGCTGCTACACATATTTCAAGGCCACAGGTCAAAAAATTGAGTAAGATGAGATGCCCTTGTAAACCACAGGACGTCATGTTAGATAGAAACTTCCTCTAACAGGGGTTACAGTCAAATGTTTAAAACAGCAGATGTTAGTTTCTGGGATTTTATGTTATCCCAACCAGGAGCTTTTGAAGTAATTATTTCCATTTGTTCTTCCGGAGTCTTGTTCTTCCTTAGACAGGCTACAAAAAGAAAGAAAAAAAATGTAAATACGATTTGGTATTTAGATAGCACTGAAAAGCACTTGATAAAGTCAAAATGGTCACGGTCAGGTAACGCATATCAAACTGCTACAATACAATCCTTTTGATGTTCTCAACATACACTCACAAAACAGGCTTTCCTGCTCAAGTTCATTGATCATGTTTGAACAGGAGGTCATTTTATAAATATTCACATTGAGGCACCAAAGAACATAGTCAACCACTAGTGTTACAGCTGTTGAGGATAATTAGGGTGTTAGTCCAAAACAGCTGGTTTGTATGTTTTTCACTATATTTAGTTTCCATTCGGGTGCCTTAAAATATATATGTTAAACAGAAACAAGACCAGACAAAAGGTTTACTATATATATAGAAAAAAAAAATCTAGTTTTTCCAACAACAACAAAATTAGCTTAGTGTTCAAGACTTGCTATAGCTCACCAAAGGAATATGAACAGCGCAGTCAAGGTATTTCTTCAAGCAGAAACAGTCTTTATTGGAAACAACATGAGCATTACTCATAATATTCCCTCACCCCGACCAATAGACATTGCAGTTACATTAAACGTTTTGTATGTGGTTTATTACTGTGCCAAAATGTCTCCTTTGATTATTATTTTTTTCTCCGGAAGAAAACTGATCTGACTACATGGGATATTTAGATTTTGATTCCCTATAAATGTGAATTCTAATAAATATTATGTGGTTTGCTTTTATTAAATTGCATGCAGAGGTCTTTTCTGTGATTTTTTTTTTCCATGCAATTACCTAATTAATAGGTAACAAATTAATTCCATGCTCCCCACCTCTGTTTAATGGGAAGGACCAACTAAGGGTGGGTGACTGGACTGTGGTAACACAGTGATGTAATACAGTTAAACGTACGGGAGTGTTCCAGACAGACTGGGAAACATTAAATATCTTGAGGCTGCTATTATGGGTCTTCAGCTGGAAAAACTGTGGGTCAGTTGTGGCCCGCAATATGTTTTCTATGAACCCCAGAATGTCTGATTATTCCATAGTCTTATTACATAATAGATTTTAATAAGCCCATGTATACAATCGTCTGAATTCTTGTGTTAATCTGGCATTTTTTGTTTGCAGCTCCAGAGCCCATAAGAAAACTCAATGATCCCAACACTAACTGGTAGGCAGAGCTACGTCAGATATGCCATGTTATAATCCTGATCAATCCTGATACTGCTGATTCTCTAAATAAAATACAGCCACACACAAGCTCCTGCTGCATATCCAGGTAATCAGTGTAATCCCTCTGTGCTACCCAACTAATAGAGTGGTGTGCAGTACAGTTCCAGCACCACTCCGGTCAGTAACCTGTCTCTCCAAGTGATCTAGAGGAGCACTATACGACTATTTGTTTTCTTTTTGTAATAAATGGCTGCATAAAGAAGTAGCTGCCTGATTTTAAATAACATTTTTTTTTTTTTAAATCACTAATATCCATCCGTCCTCTTGACCCCCCAGATCTTCAAAGTTGGTCAAGAGGACGGATGGATATTAGTGATTCTTTTTAAAAAAATGTTATTTTAAATCAGGCAGCTACTTCTTTATGCAGCCATCTGTTACAAAAAGAAAACAAATAGTCGTATAGTGCTCATCTAGATCACTTGGAGAGACAGGTTACTGACCGGAGTAGACAGCCACTGGAGGCAGACTTAGTGCTGCAATGCAAACATTGCAATTTCTATGGAACGGTAATATTTTGCATTGCAGCACTAAGTGCAATAGGGACAATGCACCCAGACTACTTACAATAAGCTGAAGTAGTTTGAGTGCCTGTAGTGTCCCTTTAAGCTACACCTCAGGGAGGTGAATTTATGTAGGCAGTAATGTATAAAAAGGTATTTATTTTCAAGATTTTCTCTGTTTATTAGGGATTTTACCAGAGCAGCAGTCTCCTATACAATGTTGTTCTTCATTTCTCATGAAATATCACATGCAAACAGTAAACTTGACTATTAGTATATAAAAGTGCAACTATAAACACTGATCCCTTTGAGAATTCCCCATGGGTGAACAAACCAAAAATGTTTTTAAACATGTGGGGTATTGCATACATAAATATGTAATCACCAAATTAAGAAATAACCAATATATTCACCGACATCCAAATACGCTCCATTGGCTGTAGCAATGAAGTACATTTATAAATATTTATAAACACAACTAAAAATAATAACCATGCAGACCATCTTAGCAATATAAACATATGGTAATAGATTCTAGCACTCACAAATATGCTGGCACAATAATAATAATATACATTAAATTGTGAAATATGTATATAATGACGCAGGGCAGCGAATGACAATAGACAAAATGATTACCCTAATAATAACAACATGTCATCAAGTAGTGAGAAGAGACACTCAGCACCTGAAACTTGCATATTTATTAGTTCAACATAAGACAACTTGCTTAAGTTAAAGTGCATCCTGAAAGCCTATTTTTTTTTTTTTTAAATAGTAAAATAGTTAGCAGATTTTAACCTTCACTTTTCAATCACGGTTAGTGCTGGCTTTTTATTCAGTTCAAGTACTCGCAGCAATGCTACCTAAATCTTTTCTGAAATGCAACTTCATACTCTGTGTTATTATTAATCCTTTTAAATATCCAGGATTTAAAAGTGTACTTGTCATTAGTACACTGACATGCTCTATTGAAAAATTTATAGATTTTATTTTAACCCCTTAAGGACCAGACTTCTGGAATAAAAGGGAATCATGACATGTCACACATGTCATGTGTCCTTAAGGGGTTAAAATATGGCTACCACCCACCACTGGTCAACAAATTTTTAGTACAGACCTCTACGCCGGCAGCAAAAATTCTAAGCAGGGGATGGCATAAGAGATGAGAGAGAACGGACAGGACTTCAGTAGGTGGTTCTCCAACTATTGACTAATGTCACTACATTTTGATGTTGATGTGCTGGGAATGAAGCTAAATTTATGGCATCATGTGAAAGAATTGTCCTGTTTGGGAAAGTGTCCTCAGACAAGGTCAATTATATTTTAGATGGAAAGGACAGCAAGGTAGATATTAGAGGAGTAATATTTGACAAAAAAAAAAATCTTTTTAAAAAGGCGCCGCTGGAAACCTGGTTAGGAGATAAGTATATATAACAGCTCCTAAAGGACATAATTATATAATTTAGCTTTACGGATAATGGCATTTGTTCAACCTGCCATAACCAGTTCTCAATATAGGACAATATGTAGTCAAACCTTGGGCCCTCTGGGAAGGGAGCATGACAGTCTATGCCCCTCCACAAGTAAGAACAAACTTAGAATAGTGTGCAGAAGCCCAAATTAATGACTGCCAAACAAGTCTGGGACAAATGATGGTATAACATGTTACAGAGAAACAATCGTTACTTTCAAACACTGTGTCGATAATGTCATATAGTTTCCTGCACACATATTACTGACATTTAATGAAAGTGTTCTTTATGTATGTTTATGTAGAATTTAGGTTAATTGTGTTTTGTACTGTATTTATTCACTAACTTATGTTGATATACAACTCTGTGGAAAATACTGGTGCCTCATAAGTATTTGGTAATATAATTATTACAAAACATAGAGCTGCTGTATATTATGATAATAACAATAATAGTCAAACTGTAAAAATTCACCAAGTTAACAATGCTCACAGTTTGGCTATTTTGGCCGTGACTTTGAAACTCACTCTGAATTATAAACAATTTTCACTTTAGGTAATAACCATTTAAGACTTGTAGTTTCACCCAAGTGAGAATTGAAAGAGAATTCACGAACTGGAACAATTCTCAACATGCTTTCAGTACAGCTACTTTGACCTTAAATTTTAAATTCACTTAGAAATTCTCATTTTGGTGAATAACCCTGTAAGCCAAAAATAAATGATAAAAAAAAAGCAAAATAATCTAAAAAACCAGATTTGGAAAAAAAAAAACCTCTTATTCATCCATTTTTCCAGCTTGGCCAAGTTTATCAGTTCCTCTGTCAGTTCTTCAAAACAGTTTGGTAAATAAGTCCATATGGCATTACTCCATGTCCACCTTTTGAATACAAGATGCAAAACAGTGATTGACAGCGCTTTAAGGCTTGTGAATTATTAGACCGATGAAGACCCACTAAGTAATATTAATGAAAATAAATGGTTAGTAAGTAGTGATGTCGCGAACCCGAAATTTTCGGTTCGCGAACGGCGAACGCAAACTTCCGCAAATGTTCGCGAACCGGCGAACCGCCCGAAACGCCATTGACTTCAATGGGCAGGCGAATTTTAAAACACACAGGGACTCTTTC